GCCCTTGCCAAAGAATTTCTAGGCTTAGATAAGAAGCAATAAAATGCAAGGTCCACACTAGCTGGTGGCAAGGCGACAGCTGCACAGATTCTCAGGCTGACTGACAGGCAGGGCAGAGAGTGGCTTACTGGCGTTGACTGTTGGACTGTTGGACTTTCCTCAGCCTGCTGAGGGAGAGAGAGCCCTTGGAGTAGCTCAGTTACAGAATAGTGTGGACTCCAGGAGGGAAGTCTGCTAAAAATGATAATAACGACAGCAAAAACTGACATTTGTGGAGCACCTTATGGACATAGGTTCCCTGTATTTTAACCTCTTTTTTTCTTTTTTTACCTTATTTGAAGGGTAAAAGTGAGGCTCAGACAGGCCTAAATGCTTGACCAAGGCTACAGAGCTATTAAGGAACAGCATCGAGATTTCATAGATTCTTTTTTAACTCTTCCTTTGGTGTAACTTTCCTCTTTCCTCTATATTGCTTGCATTTTTGTGGCTCATGGAAGCTGTAAGGACTCTGCTGTAGATGCAGGATGGTCCAAAAAGGTGGAGGACTTCCAGAGGTGTTTGGTGGTTTGGCACTACCCCAGTTGGCTGCTATCCAAATTGAAGCTTCCTGACCCTCAGGGGGCAGCTTATGTCTCCAAGAGATCCTTGAGCCATGCTCTCTGAGTGGGGAACGCACCCAGCCCAAACGACGCCTGCAGTGGCCTCTGGGTCCCTCATCCCAGGCTTATCTTGCAGACCCAATGATCTGGTGAGAACCAGCCTCCCTGGGGAATTTGCCGGAGTATCCTGCACTATCAAATTCACATCAGTGGACCAGCTCAAGCTTAGGTTCCAGGACCCTTTGGATGCATCTGGAGACTCTCCCCCAGAAGGAACTCCTAGTTGAAGACAAAGGATTAAAGATTATAAGGGCTTTCTGACAGAAGGTGTACATTTGATGAATAGGTCAATGGGAGCATTTAAGGACACAGTTAAATTATCTTCTCAAAAGAGAACATAAATTGTTTTCAGAGTATGTAGAGGAGGTACTATCTATGGGATTTAAAAAGAAATTATGGTCAGAGAAAAGGCAATGACAGTGATATTTAGAACTTGGGCAAAGCACTTAAGGTTCTATTTGAGACAGTGGAGCTCCGATTGCCAGGGTAAGAAGCTGCCATGCTGTGGACAATCCATACTCGGGGACAGGGAGGCCCAGATGATGGAGAACACAGCCCCACCTGAGAGAGGGCTGGATGGAACATTCTCCTGGCTGGGAGGGGGCCATCCATGTGTGCACATCCCAAAATGGCAACACAGAAATCAATAGGAGCCAAATCATTTAGGCTGCAAGAAAATAAGGCTGCATGAGGGTAGGAGTCCTTCTTTATGCATGAATGCATGCCAAGCAGCTAGAATAGTTCCGGGTGCATGGTAGGTGCCCAACAATTATTTGTTGAATGTATAAAGCAAAACCTTGTCTAAATTTGAAAAAAGAATGTCGGTGCTCTCAGGAAGGAGTACAGTGATTGCCAGCACATAGTGCCTCCCCCTTAATTAATCCACCATACAATAACAATAATGCCTGAAAGAAAGCAGATTATTCACAACAGCAATAAGTAAATGAAAAAAAACAAGCCCAGGTTCATTTCACAAATATTGTGACACCTCAGCTGAGCTAGTGGGAGGGGACCTGGGGAGGACGTGGATGATGGCAGTAACACCAGCATCTGCTACTCTCAGCCATGTGCCCACTTATGCTGACCATTTTAACAGAGGACAAAAAGAAAGCATGATGCAAGAAAGGAATGTGTCACATTCCTTTGTGAGTAAGCTGTGTGGACTTTTAACTGTCACACACCTAAAAGAATCACAGGGGCTGTCAGATCAGAGAAACTGCTGGGTTGGCGATAAGGCTCAGCTGGAGGAATGGTTTGCGATCTTCCCTCTCACACATGCACTTCTGCATTCCTTATGAGCAGAGGCCTCCCTGACACCTTGCTTCCTAAGACTGGGAGAGGCGCTCCTCTGTGCCCCCAGGTCTCTCTGTGCTTAACCTCGGATGGACCACTTTGCTACATTCTGAGCTCTTTCTTAGCGAAGTACTGTGTCTTGTTCCTTGCTGTATCTCAGCTTCTAACGCAGTATCTTTCAGATAGTAGATACTCAATAAATAATTGTCCAGAAATTAAATGGATTAATGGTTCCATCAATCCCCCAGTCAACCTAGACTCCTCCTTCTTCCACCTTCCATATCCAAAATCACCAAATTCTATTTAATCCATTTAAAATGCATTTCAAGCCTGCCCCCTCCTCTTCGTTCCTATGGCCATGGCCTTTGTCAGGTCTTCTTTAGTCTAGACTATTACATTGGCCTCCTAACATTGGTCTCCTTCCTCTGAGTCTATTCCAAGCCATCTTCCACATCAGAGGTGGCAAACTAGCAGCAGCCCACACACATAATTTGTTTGGCTCTGAAAATGTTCTATAATAATCTGAATTAGTTTCCTACATTTTAAAATCAGGAAATTTCAAATAAAATTTTGGTTTCAAAAGTTTCTTTAAAAATCAGAGGGCCTGACAACCAAGAGGTTTCATTCCCACATGGCTACAGTGAGCCAGGAAGAGCTGGAGGCGTGGAGCCTGTCACCTTCAGCAGGGACATTCCCTCCTTCCCACACAGCCTGCTTCCCTTGACTTTATGGGCCTGATCCCCTGTGGGCAGAGACGCTTGGGCCTCCTGCTCTGTCCTGCCGCCCGAGTAACCTGTGTGAAGCACAGACCTGATTAAATCAGATCACATGACTGCAATTTAACTTTGCTGGCAAAATAACATCATGATATGCAAGGCCTATCACACACGGGCCCCATCCGCCTTTCAAGCCTACGCCCACCTTTTACCCACCCCTCGCCTCAAGCGTGCTGGGCATTTTCCCATCTCTGAGGCTTTGCTCAAGCTCTCTTCTCTAGCTTGAGTGCCTGGCCCTGGGCTGCAGTGCTCAAGACAATGTGCTGGCATCACACCGCTTAGGTGTAAATCCTCTCTAAGCCTTCATTTCCTCATCCGTAAAATGGGGATACTAGCAGTTGATACCTCGTAGGGTTAATGGGAGGAACAAATAAATAATACTTGTAAAGTTCTTAACACAGGGCTTGGCACATAGCAAGGACTTAACGATGATGCTGTGTCATTGTGGTTGCTGTTGTCCTGCCCTTCTCTCGCTGAAGATATGCTGTTCCACCTCCACAACCAGTTCAATTGTCACCTTCTCAGAGAAGCCTTCCCCATTCCTCCACGGCCCCCTAAGCAGAAGGAGTGATCCTCCCCAAGAGTCAGAGAGTTCAGCATGTACCTCTAGGATGGCACTGACCACATGGTCTCACCTTTGGCTGCACTGTGTCCATCCCCTCTGTGCACCATCATTCCCTAAGGACTGAGTCGGACATCTTCAAACACCCGGTGCCGGGACACTGCAGCTAGTCAGTGGTTCTTGAATGAGTTGGGTTGGATGTCAAGAGAGAAACAAACGATTTTTTTCCCAGAGTTCTATACACCAAAGATTGTCATGTGATGCCATTTGCCACCTGAAGGCAGTCAATAAAAGATAATAAAAAGGAAAAGGATATATTCAGAGCATTAAGAGCAAGCTATGTCAGTTAACTGCCCGACTTTTGTGAAATTGGAGGGTACAAAATGAATTTCTTAAAGGACCTGGATTACTAATATACAGTAATAAAGTGTGGGTGTGAATGGGAAAGGAAAGAAATACCCCCCAAAACAAATACCCAAAATCCATGATGGGACTTCCCTGAGAATGCTGGGCTTGTTTTGAATCCCAGCTTCATTACTTTGAAGGACTCTGGGCAAATTGTTAACCTTCCTGAGCCTCAACTTCTTTATCTCTAAAATGAAGAGAATAAAACCCATCCCAGAAGGTTGAGAGGCAGATGAAATGACATGACACGTGTAAAGACTTTGAACGGTACCTGCCACTAAGGCTTCAATAATGTCTGTAGACTCAGTGCTAATCAATGAACATTAGATATAAGAAAGATAGAAATACCAATTTGAATTTGAGTTTGACATTAACAACGTTAAAATGAAGGCATCGCATGTGTTTTCTGATTTGGGATGGAGGGGAATCCAGTGTTTAAAGCCGTCTCCCCAACTCAAAGCCCTCTGCCGCCCTGCTCCTCAATCACTCACTTGGATCTCTGCACTCACTTCCTATCTTGTCCCTCCACTGCAGGAGCCCTGTTCTGATTCTTCTCCACTCTTCTCAGAGTGGCTTTCCAGTCTACCATGTCTCTCCTCTATGGCAAGCTGTTCAATGGCACGCCATTGCTGTGAGGATACGGACCCACTCCTTGGCCAACATGCAAGGCCTTTCATGGTCTGATCATACCTGTATCATCAGTCCCATCTCTCACCAACCTGTCATCCCACCTCTCATGCCTCATATCCCAGCCACATGGTTCTAGCACATCTCCAAGGCCTCAATGTCCTGCCTGGATGAGACACCCTTTCCCTCTCACTGGTCTTCAAGACTTAGTTTTGGCATCAACTTCCCCAGAAAGACACCCTCTGCCCAGTGTGGATTTGGTGCCCCTCCCAGGAGCTCCCACAGCCTCCAAGCACACTTATCTTTAGCACTCATCATAAGGAAACACAAAATTCACTTACCAATATGTCTCCCTGTTCCATGAGATGGAAAGCTCCTGAAAGGCAAGGATGGCCCTTTGTATTTGAATCCTCACCAGTTATCAACCAAGCCAAGAATAGTTGGTGCTCTATTTTTTTTTTACTTTTATTTTTTTGGTGGGAAAGATTGGCCCTGAGCTAACATCTGTTGCCAATCTTCCTCTATTTTTTTTTTTTTGTTTTTTTTGTATTTGGGACACCACCACATCATGGCTTGATGAGCAGTATGTAGGTCCACACCCAGGATCCAAACCTGCAAACCCCGGGCTGCCGAAGCAGAGCTCACAAACTTAACCACTATGCCACTGAGCCAGCCCCAAGTGCTCTATTATTTTTACTGAACAAAATATATTTATAAGTGAATGGAAAATTGTGAAAATGTACTATAATTAGGTTAATATCCCTGCTCCCTCCAAAAAAAAAAATCACTGATCTTCTATCTTTAGGCACTCACTTTTACAGACATTAAGAAGTCAAAATTTAAGCAATGGTGGCTGGTCAGGCTATAGAACACTGTGTTCAACCTCACGGACACTGGTGTTAGAGGCTGAGTTTGAATTTTGGCCCCACTACTTACTAACTGTGAGGACTAGGTGCATTATGTGACCTCTCTGGGACTCAGTTTCCGTCTCTGCAAAACAAATATAATGAGAGTACATGCTTCATAAAGTTTTTATGAGATTAAGATGAGATGATGCAGGTAAAGCACAGTGTCTAGCATGTAATGCTGTTCAATAAATGTTAAAAATAAATTAAGAGTTAAGAAGTCCTAGTAACAGCCTTGTTGATCAATGAATCAGCGGGCAGTTGAATGCCGGTCTATGAGGCCTATGGGGAAGCAAAGAGAGGCCTGGATCACCAGCATGATACAGAATGTAGATCGTGCATGAGCCAGACAGTGTACAAAGCCACCAAAACGTTTGTCCCCTAGGGTGGAAGGGAGACCTGAGCTCAGTGGTGAGCACGCCCATTGGCAAAGCAGCTTAAACATTCAAGAAGCTGGATATGATATTTGCAGCCAGTCCTTGTCTTCCTACCTCCCAGAGCGTTGGCCTCCGTCACTCTCCGTGGACTTTTAATTTGCTCTGAAGCACTCGGCTCTCTCGGCCCCATGCTTTATTTCCCAACCTTCCAGGGGCCTTCTGACTTTCTTGACTCACTTGCTATCGATTCCCTCAGGCCTTATCCAGGCCAGTTTCAAATGCCTGAAACTTCTCACAGCTTCATAGTCAGGTTTATCAAGCTTTCATCCTATGGTTTTTGAGTGCTAACAAGGATGAGCTGTCCTGATCAATAAGAGAGGGGAAGAAAGAGCGCATGGGGAGGGGGATGTCACAATGCCAGCCCTCCCCAGGTCCCATTCTGAGTGACACTCCCTGGGAAAGGACTGATAAGCAATCGTCAGCTCAGTGATGCTGGTGAACTAGCATATTCTGGTAGGAGGGTTTCCAGGAGCTCACGGCCCCTTGGCTGATGCGTGGTTTAGACTACTCTTTGGTCAGCCCCATCTACTTTCCCCCTCCCTCTCCTCTCCTCCCCTCCCCTTTCCCAGCAGCGGCCCCACGGTCCTCAAAGTGCTCTCTGCCCTGGCAGCCCCAGATCAGAGTGTGCGATCCAACCACACCCCCAGCATCTAATGACAAGGGTGCATCACTTAACCTTTCTTTATCCTTCAATTAGTCACTTACCCCAGGCTGAGAGCTCGACAGGGAAACGTGAGTTTGCCTGTTGTTAGCATCCCTCAGACTTATGACAAGATTCACAACAGTCATAGGGTGCCCATCATTTTATTTCACATAGTTTTGTGATATCATGATAATGCTAATAATGGGTATGACTTCCCGAGTGCTTTATATGGACCTTACAAGAGCCCTGTTTAAAAAAAACAAAAAGGCAGTATTCCCAATTTAGAGATGAAGAAACTGAGGCTCAGAGAAGGAATTATCATGCCCAGTCATGAGGTTAGGAAGTAACCAGGCAAGGCTTGAACCCATGTCCCTCTGGCTCTTCTGCCTATGTCACCTTCCCAGCAAACGCTGCCAGAACAAGGGACACCCCACACTCATGCTGCCTCCCCATCCCAGACGCAGTGATGGGGACCTGGGACATCCCTGGTAAATTTCTGGATGCTGATGTAGCTACCCCAAGGGTATAATTAGAGAACCTAATTGTTTTTCTTCAAAGTGTGTAACATATGAGACACAGATAAAACATTTATTGCAGCGCACAGAATTTCAGTATAATGATATCATTCCTCCTTTTGACTAGATAAAACTTTTCCAACTTTCAAAGGTTTAGATTTAGCCTCCCCTCTTACATGAATTCCCCTGGCTGCTCACTGATCCACCATCTAATAAAGTACTCATCCAGCCTGCACCGTGCAGTTTCAGAACTTGCATCTTTCACGTTTTTAATCAAATGTCATCTTCTCAGTAAGAACTTTTCTGGTCACCTCTTCTGAGATTGCTGCCTCTCCCCAACACTTCCTATCCCCCTTTGCTGCTTTATTTTTCTCCTAAGCACTTACACTATATATCATACTTATTTCTCCAAGTTATCACCTGCCTCCCCCATTCAAGCATATGCCCCCTGAGGGCAGGCATTTTTTTAAAATTTTCTCACGGCTGCATTCCCCACAGCAGTGCCTGGGAGGGGCTCAGTACTTACTCGTCGAATGCTGGACATGTTTGGTTTCCAGTTTACTTCAGCTGAGTTTGTTCTTCCTCTTTAAATAGCTCTAAAACTCTCCAAGATAGCACATAAACATCTTATGCAGCTTCTGTATGCCCACAGCACGCCTTAGGAGGTGCCAGTCACATAGAAGTTATTTTAAAACCCACTAGCCTGATTAATTCAGTAGCAAATTAAGCAAAAGTGAGGGCCTTAAGCCCTGTCTTGAGGGACGTGGATCTTTTCGTCGTTGTGAATTTACCTCTGGAGGATTTTAATCTGTGGCAGCAGGTGGAGGCGGGGTGCTTCACGGTAAAAATTGATTTCTCCTTACTCCTCAAGATTAACTGTTAGTGAGCCTTTGTACCTTCTCAAACTAGTTATCTCTTCTCCTAGCTTTAGAAGCCCATTGGGTCTCTTCTGTATCTGTCACTCTGACTGCTCCCTATTGCTAAGAGTGGAATCAGCATGTTGTACAAATTCTCATGCCTTCCAAGTTGGGGTGAGGACGCACACTCCCCAGACCATAGCAGGAGTGAGTGGCTCAGACGGCAGAGAGATTTTGTCCTGGCCTTACTGTCACAAGCCAGGACGGGCATGTGCTGCCTGCACTGCACACAGGCTGTGCCCAGGGGACATGGTGGATTTGCATGACTGTCTCACCCTCAGTGTGTCTGTGTGTGCACGTGAGCACACACATGTGTGCCCAAGCCTGTGGATGGCCAGCCAGCTCTGCCTGATTCGCTGCTCTCCCGAGATGAGCTGGCTTCTCAGGGAGCACCCGGGTGTTGAAATCCAGTCTTGACCCTAAAAGAATTCTGAAGATGCCAAGTCAGGGGATTAGCTCCAAATGCCACCACCCAAATCAGGCCACAAGTTACAGTGGTCAGACAATGAAATCATCTTTTCTTCTGGTTTTGGTGGCTACTATTTTTAACCGTGTTGAATGGCCAGGAAGAACCTGAGGGGAAGGTAGCCAAAGCAGCATAGACCAATTTCCTGGCTCAGGAGCGCACAGCCCTGGGATGGTTTCCTGTTTGTGAGAGGAGAGCTGTGGTTGTGTGTTGGGAGAAGGCTGTTATTGTCTGACAGTTTTAAGGGTTTGCAGCACTCTACAAAAGAGACAAGAAACCTTCAGCTCTGCCCAGGCTCAGCCCTCATGGCAATTATTTTTTTCTATTGGAGGGTAGGGGTTGATGAGCAGGAGGGAGCAAAAGAAGGAGAGAGAGCAGAATGGAAAAAAGTAAACCTCAGGAGAACAGGATGTACTTAAAATTCTCCCTGTCTCTTATCCATCCCAAAACTGGCCTATCCAGGGGTGGAGGAGGCCACTGTGACTTCATACATATTTATAGAATTTGGCAGATTTGCAGAACACACCTCTAACAATGTATTTTAAATGAAGCTAAATGAAATGCATTCCTAGTCCATGGGAAAAGTTCTTAATTTTTTTTTTTTTTTTTTTTTGGCTGTAATATGGTGTGGAGAGATGGTGCTGGCCGCAGCGTCACGGAGAATCACACAAGGTGGATAATATGGTGTGAAGCTGATGTGAGTCTGGGTGGGAGCCGGGTGACCCAAACCAGCATGTGGCACCTTGGGAAAGATCCAGTCACTCGAACTAGCCTGACTGTCCCCACATCTTGAAGCCCCCTCAAGCAGGGTGTAGCCCCAGGATCCCACAGTCCTCTGCCTGTCGTGTTTCCCAATGGCGTTGTGATGACCTGCTTCTCTCCAACCCTGTTAGTCCCAATTCAAAGTAACTCTCTGTCCACCAAAGGCCACCGAGGATCAGGGCTTATTAGAGGTCAAGATTTCTGGAATCAGAAATCATGAGCCCAAACCCAATATTCTGTTTCCTCTGATCTCCAAGTTAGATTGCAAACCCTAAAATATATTCATGTTATTTTCTAAATAAAAGAGGAACCTAATTGAATTTCACTGGCCCACATGTATGTCTATATGCACATCTTTCTTTACTGACCTGGCTTGGCCTTGCACTCATTTGTAAAATAAGGATATTGCGCTAAGGGCTTTTCCAGCTCAAAAATTCCAAGATTCAACCAAAATACATTCAGTATCACTCCTCCAATCCCATGGTCTTTCTTTTTTTTGCTGAGTCCTGCTAATTGTTCCTCTGCCTTACTTCCTATTTTGAGGTCTTTCTCTCCATTCCAAAAGCATCGACATAGTTGATCTTTTAAGCTCCTCAGTGCTAGACTATTAGAGCTGTCTTCTTAGGGATTTCTTTGGTTTCAATTATGTTTTATGCTAAGTGATACCACATGTCGCTGCTCAGAATAACTAGTTTCAAAGACAATTTCACATCTGATTCAGGAGCTGTATATGGTCGGCCCTTTCCCACCCCACTGCCTCCTTCAACCGCATCCTCACCTGCTACAGCACAACATGACCTATGGCTCCAGTCACACTCATTTCTTATCCAGCCTTCCATTCACCTTGAAGATTCCCACCCGTTTGCCCTAACAGTAACATTTCTATGTGACTGCCCCTCCTCTCTGAACCAGTCTTTGTCCATCCTTCCTTTACACTTTTGCCTGGCTACACTGCCAGGAGACTGACATTCATTCCCTCTCGTGCTCCCTTCATACTCTCATCTTTTCTTTAGAGGCTTCACGCTTACTTATTGACTCCCTCTCTAAGGAAAAGTACAAGATTGTGCCTGCCCTTTCTTCCCTTAACTGTTGAAATGCCACAGCCTCTGCTTCCTCTTGTTGGTGTCCAATGCAGTGCGGGGCATATAGCTGCTCAATATTGTTGTTGGATGATCGGTAATAATTAAGGAAACTAACAGAGCTCAAGTCTGCAACTAGTTCAACAGCAACTGGACTTACTCCATCCCACTAACTCCATGTGCCCATTGCAGGGAGGGTACCTATCAAGGGCCAGGAGTGCAGACGAGGCTCAGCTGCTGAGCCCATGGCTTGGCTCAAGGTTGAAGAAGGTTGAGCTGTCAGCATGTTCTGCTGATGGCTTGTTCTTCAACTAGTGACCTCTCTTGATTTTTACTCTCATCTCTGCAAATTAGGGGTGGGATGACTAGACCAAGAAATCCTATGATGAAAGACTCTTCACAGAGGTATCATTTTATTTTTTTTTAATATGAGAGTCTCTGTAGAGTCAACCAGTAAGGTAGCTGATACATAATGATAAGGATTCCAAGATGTTTGCTCATATTTCTGGAGCAAACATCACATATAACCTAAGGAACAAGGGGCATTGGTCTCCCTCCCCTCATACCACCTCCATCATTGACAAAACTGTTCAGGAGGGAGAACCTGGGGAGGGGATGACCTTCTCTCCTTTATTTGAAGTTAACAAAGGATGAAAAGGCACTTTCCTGAAAGTTTGTTTTGAGGGCTCAGAATTAAACGCTTTTCTCTGCAGTCTTTTTGGATTCAAGTCTTCTTGATGCCGTAAGAAAAGTTCTGTGTGCATCCTCCAGAAATATCATTTCTCGTAATAAGACTACAGAGTTATACTGTGACTTTCAGCTTTAGGGCTTCTGTCAGAGGACTTCTTTGATCCCCTCAGGATTGTCTGTAGAGCTCCAAGAGCACAGCAAAGATATTGATTGTCCACTGGAAAAAATGGCAATGCTAGTGTCTCACATTACTGTTCGTGCTGTCTCAAGTGCTCGATGGAAGGAGGCAGAATGAGGGTATAAATCTATACTCGATCATGCTGCTACTCCATACTTCCTAGGCTTGTCCTCTGGTGGCTAAGAGAGGTTGTTCTCGAAGGTGTCAAGGCGTATGAGAGGAAATGGTTTATATTTCCTTTTAATAGAAACACTATCTTGTTACAAGTTCTAGAATGAATATCTGTCCCTTCAATTGTCTGATAAAAGGAGCATCAAGTCCTTGATCTGGTCTATCTCACTCTGATACCTCCAGCTCTTCATTCCATCACTCGGGGCCTACAGGCTAAAGATTCTGCATTTCCAAGAGCAGGGTCATGACCCAGGAAGGAATCTCTTCAATCAGGTTCAGCTACCCAGTTAAATCAATCCACCAAGTGACAAGGGTTGTGGCAGGTTCACACACCTATGACAAAGTCCTTCTGAGGGAAACACCTAATTGGTAACCCGCAATCTTCCTCTCAGTGCAGAGGGAGTGAGTTCCAATCTTTCCAGCTACAACACTCTTTTCTCCTGCCTCTCACTTCATTACATCGCCTATGAGACATAGAGGCATTATTATTTTTATTAATAAAATGGATTAAAATCGTTTGATTTGGACATCTGAGAAGTTCTTGAAATCATAGAGGGCCTCCTGGGATAACCTGACCCAGCACTGGAAGTCCTTGGAGAAGAGGCCTGTGGGTCAGATGGACCCGTTCTAATCTGATTCTGGCTGCAGGGCCTTGGGCACGGCATTCAGCCTCTCTGAGACTCAGTTTCCTCATCTGTAAAATGGGATAACACCATCTAGCTGATTAAGTTGTTAGTAACAATAAATGTGATGAATATCAGTAAATTGCTTGGCCCATAGGCATACAATAAATGGTAGATTTAATCTAAGATACTAATATTAAAGGAATAGATGCTATAGTATGCTAGATAAAAACTCATAGATGGAGAACAGCTCATTCTCGAGGCATTTTTTCTAGTTTAGGTCACCAAAGGATTAGATTTAACATGTGCAAGAGGGTAGAGCTGAGCAAAACAGACAGGCGAAAAGAAAGATAGAGAACTAGTCAGTGGAAGGAAACATTTCAGATGAAATTACACCCTTGGAATCCAGAGACAAGGGCTAGGTTTTTGAGTTTTAGTCACTGCTGAGGAGTAATGAGATGGCGAGTGAATGGTTGGGATCATCTCTCGGGCAGGAATTTCGTGCAGAATTTGTGACAGGAGAAAGGCCGTGTCCCTCCTCTCTGGATGGGTCTGCTTGTACCAGGGAAGCAAGTGAACCAAAATGCCCTCTCTCCTGGAACAGATGTGTGACTCTGGGCTGGGAGGTGTGGGAAAAGCCTAGAAATAAAAGGCAGAGGAGAACCTTTATAATCCTGATGCTTGAGCAAAATGCAGTGATTACAGTGCAGCATCTGGGGGCAAGGTAGGCTGAATGCAACACCAGGCTCTCTGGAATCTTCTAAAAACAACCATGAATACAAACAACTTACAAGAACAAAAGAGACCTTTGCACCACAAATGCCAAACAGAAACCTATGCAATTCGGAGGCATGAAATACGCTGTTTATAGTTAAAAGCAAGAATGAAGTGTATACATTTTCCAAACCACATACTGGACTAAACCTAACTTATTTATTTTCCTAAGCCTTAAACCAATTCTGAGTTTAAGTATAAAAATTTAAAGATGTAGGGGCCGGTCCAGTGGTGCAGCGGTTAAGTTCTCATGTTCTGCTTTGGTGGCCCAGGGTTCACCAATTTGGATCCCAGGTGCAGACATGGCACCACCTGGCAAGCCATGCCATGACAGGCGTCCCATATATAAAGTAGAGGAAGATGGGCATGGATGTTAGCTCAGAGCCAGTCTTCCTCAGCAAAAAGAGGAGGATTGGCAGCAGATGTTAGCTCAGGGCTAATCTTCCTCAACAACAACAACAAAAAAAATTAAAGACATATATCCTAGTGAGCCAGGGCAGAATCAATTTTATAAAACTGAATTAGGTACTAATTGGAATATTAAAATATGCTTAGACTCAAACTTAAAACAAAGAGTAGCTTGAGAATTCAACTCCAATTAGATTGAAACAAAAGGAAATGAACTCACAATTAGCCAATAGTGATGATGATGATATGATGATACTGTACTCCCTGGTATTTGATTCTCAGAGTGATGGCACATATCTGTGTACCCAGGGTGCATTGATTGTGGGTTCCCCTCTGCAATGACCTCAGTATCTTCCAACTGGATACTCTTCCTTCTTGACTGGTGTGGCCTTTGAGAAATGTGTTGGGCTGCAGAACACAGGGGAAGGTTAGGTCCCTCATAGGAAAACAGAAGATGGCTAATTAACGTCTTCAGCTTAGTAGTTATTAATTGTACTATTAGCATCTTGGTCAGAGATTATGCCAGTGTGTGTGTGTGCTTGCATGTGATCAATATTTAGGCCTTTTCACATGTGCATATCTTAATAATATAAACAATTAGCCACTTAAATTTACTCGTTTTGTAGGAATGCGTTCTTTACATTCTGAGGACCCTTAGAGGGAAATAAAAATGTGGACTCCTACCAGCAAGACCAGCACAGAGTGAGTTATTCGTGTTGCTGAGGTCAGAAGGAATCAACGTCAGAATTCCAGAGCGACATGGAAACTGGGGCTCAGGGAGAGCCTGTCCATGGAAGAAGAGGAAGCTTTGGGAATGTGGGTGGTGGGAAGAGGTACACCTGAAGCAGTAATTTGGCAGATCTTCCTGGCGAAGGCGAAGATGCTGGCCGAGGGAAATAAAGGGGTTTGATTCCATGCAGCCAGGAGCTTGACAATGGCTCAAATTTTCAGAAATGTGGCAAACCATGATGACTTGGCCAGAAGGCCTCAGTTTTCTGTGGCTTCGGATTTACTCATCTGGGAACATGGGCCCTCCTAGCCATCATAAAGGAAGGAGCCAGGCCGTCCCCCCGAGAATGAGCTGCTGATCCAGAAGCTGAAGAAAGAAAGGACTGTGCCATTCTTGGCTCCTTCTCCTTCCGCATTCTGGCCTCAGTGCTCTTCTCCCCGGAGGAAGACGCAAAGCCTGCCCTGCCTGCTCTGCAACCTCGGAGGGGAAACTCATCCAAGGGGCTGAATCAGATCCGCTCAGGTCTAAGGAGAGTGAGCTCCTGCAGGCACAACACCTTTCGAGTTTTCTCCAGAGGACAGTTGGAGGCGCAGCCTCTATGCCTACGGCGTATCTAAATGTCAGCCCCCGTGGGAATGATTCCTTCGAGTTTGTCTGGCCCCACATCGAAGAGTTTAACTTGGATTCCTTTCTCTCATTTCATTTGTCTTCCCCTGTCCTACTTTCCCCTGTGGCTGAGAGTGGTTTTTCCATTTCATTTTGCAGACATGTGAGGCATCTCGCTCCCCGTGTTCCCCACCCCATGCTTCCACACATCTGGAAGAGCAATGTTCACATCTGGAGGCCATTCTCATCTGGAAGATGTCTTTCGACATTCTTTTCTTTGAAACTCAATCCATTCTCTTGTTGAAAAGGGCCTCCGAACTACTAGAATCATTTGCAGAGGCTCAGAAAAAAGTCCTCAGTTTCATCCCGACATGGTGGAATTTATGACTCAAACCAAACCGAACATTATGTTTCTGATTGCTTTTTTTTTGGTAATAAATTATTTTCTGAGCTTCATGTTGAAATGGACTGGAAGTTCTAGCCTAGGTCACATACAAAAGGAAGATGGAAAGTGAGATGGTCAATAATCACAAGGTAAGTCCAGTTCCTAGCTCCGTGACCTTGAACATGACAGTCATTTCCTCATCAATAAAATTGGGGTTCATTGTTTAAAATTAGATCAATAACCCTGCTTTGTTATCCCGTAGGATTGTTTAGGACACAGTGAGATAACCTATCTGAACATATCTGGTCTCACATTTAGATAAGATAAGGATTGATGAAAAAAGAAGGGGAGGTGGGCCACGCGCAGGTGGTCCAGTGTTTCGTTGGTTCGAATCCTGGGCGCGGACATGGCACTGCTCATCAAACCACGCTGAGGCAGCGTCCCACATGCCACAACTAGAAGGACCCACAACGAAGAATATACAACTATGTACCGGGGGGCTTTGGGGAGAAAAAGGAATAAAATTAAAAAATCTAAAAAAAAAAAAAGAGGGAGAGGCTCCTGTCAGGTTGACAGTCTCTGCATTTGCACATCCCTCTCCATGAATCCATAGAAGACCCCAAGGCTATGGCTCTATGATACCCCACTGGGTAGGGGAAAGGCAGAAGTCTCCGGAACAGAATCCCACTGTCAGCCACATGCTCTCATTCTAATCAGGTTGACAGTAGAGCATCTGATCAGTGGTTCCCAAATTTAATGTGCGCACACATTACCTGGCCATTCTGACAAAATGCAGATTCTTGTTCAGCAGGTCTGAGGTGAGATTGAGGTTTGCATTTCTAACAAGCTCCCAGGCGATACCTATGCTGCTAGTCCCAGGACCCTATTTTGAATAACATGGTACTGGGGAAGTAGATCCCCAACCCAAAAATGCAACCTCAGCTAACAAGCAAGTTCGTCATTTTTGCGGTGTCAAATCTAAATCTCAAGTGCAGTCCGTGGAAGGAGAGGCACGGAGAGAAATGGAATTCACCTTCTGGAAATGCATCAAGACCTGTTCAGCTCAACTTTGACCCTCTCCTGCACCTGTCCTCTTGGATGTGAAGGGAAAACTAACTTCCTTACTTCACCCCATGCCCTGCCTTCAAGTATTTCCCCTCCTGAGTCACGTTGGCGCCTAGAGGAGGGACTGCCCCAGCTATAGACTGCCACACCTTTGACCTTCAGCACGTTGCCCAACTCCCAGCCAGGCTGCTACAAGAGAGAGAAACATCAGTGCTATTTAGCTGGGCTGGGCACTTCCCTCAGCTTCTCTTGCCCCTGAGCCATGTTGCCTGGCAACCAGAGGGCAGGGGAAGGGGAGGGATGGAAGCAGGTGAGAAGGCAGGGAGGAAATAATGGAACAGGAGAGACAGGGCTGAAGCTCCTGGTCACACAGACACACACTCTTAGTAGGAGAGAATGTTAATAAGCCTCAGAGGGAGGATGCCACTGGGTGTGAACCTAGAAAGCAGGGGGCCAGAAGTTTACCAGCATTCATTTTTTCCATTTGATTATTTTAAAGATGCTAATAATAAAAGGAAGAGGAAAAGAATTCTACTTCTTAGATGATTTGGCAAGGCAGGAGGAAAAAACTAAAAAACTCTTATAAAAACCGAGGGAATCATTAAACGGTGTGGACGGGGGTGAGGCGAAGTTGGTAAAAATCCTGTGCTAAAAACTAAAACGTGTCTTGAGAAGTGGCCAAAAAGTTTATGGTAAGGTCTGAAAAGCTGAAATGAGAAGCCGCCCAGGCATGGGCTCCTAGTGGCTGCTGAATGAGGAGAGGTGGGGCGATTCCACGTGGCCCACCCACAGCCCCCACCTGCTGCCCTTTCAGTGTGTCCCTGTGCAGGGGTCACCCAGGCAACAGGAGGATGCTGGACAGCAGACTGCAGTCCAGGGAGGCAGCTAAAGAAAGTGGCAGGAACATTTTGCATTCCAGTCACAGTTATGGAGCTTCAGTTTTCTCACAGGTCGAAAGCCTTCATTCCGGCCTGTAAGAGTCTCTTCAGATGCTTGTGACAGCCCCTGCTCTGGCCCTCCGGCTTCCTGCCATTCCCACACTCCAAGCCGTACTCCATATTGCCGTACGATGAGCCTTCTAAAACAGATGGAATCATGCTGCTCAAAACTTCGCCTAGTTCCCCAGTGCCAACAAAGGAAATTCCAAACTTCTTAGCATGGCATTCGATGCTTTCCACAGCCTTGCCCCAGTCTGCTTTTCCAGAGTCATCTCCAGCTTCTCCTACCAACCCCCAACCACCCTACAGTCCAGCCATCATAAACCATACCATTCTCCACCAAGCCATCAACTCCTACTCTTCTGTGCCTTTGCATATTGCTATAATTCCTCATTTGGCTTATCTTCCAAACAACCCCTATTTACTCTTTTTAAAACACACAGAAACAAAATTGAAAATTTTCCAAAGTAATATGTGCACACGATTTACATATTTAAATGGTGCAGAAGACTTAAAATCAAAGAAACAACCTATTGTCTTCCTCTTCCTCCTCCCTATCGCCTCTCCCTCAATTAAATCCCCCTTCGCTCTTTTTTAAATTTTCTCCCCTGGTGGTTACCTTCATTTCTCTAGGAACTATTTCTTGATTTCTATAAAATTATTTCTTAATTTGGCAATTTTACATAGGCTTTTTTTTTTTTGCATTCTGACTCTAATAAATGAGTGTTTAGCACACATGGAACATACTACAATTTTCATTTTCCCAGTGGAAACTTTAATCACTTTAAGTTCAAGAAGAAACAACATAAGACAAGTAAGAATTCAGACGCCGAAGTCAGTCTGGCTGGGTCCAGATTGCTAACTTACTACTTACCACATATGTGATCTTGGTCAGTCGACTTAATTTTCTGTCCTTATGCTATCTTCATAAATGGTGGAGGATACAACATAGTGTTTCCTTCATCTGTAAAATCTGTACAGATCTCTCTAGAACTATAGCAAAACTGCCATCTGCATTTCTCTTCACTATTTTCCAAGGTTGGAGATACTGTTTCCAGAATCCTGTGTCTCTCCCTGGCTTGCTTTACGCCCTCATTTTGCTGGAGTGTGTCCTCAAATGACTTCCCTTAAAAGGCGCATGGAATTAAGCCTTTGCAACACCTCATCTGTCTGAAAATCTCATTTCTTCCGCCTTCAAAATTCACAACTATTTTTGCTGGATATAGAATTCTAGTTGAAAATCATTTTCCTTCATAAGTTGAAGCATTTCTTTATTGTCTTCTAGCATCTAGTATTGCTCTTACAAGTCTTTGATGCCCATTTATTTACAAGTTGTCATTTTTCTTCATTTTTCTCTCTCTGGAACTATTTAAGGTCTCTCTTGTATTGTTAATGTTATGAATTTTTAAATGTTGCATTTGCTGTCTTTTATTCATTAGAGTGGATACCAGGTAAATAACTCTGTCTTAACTTTTGTATCTTTCAACTCTGAGAAATTCTCTTGTAATGTTTCTTTGTGATTTCTTCTCTCATATTTTTCTTTTTGGATCTCCTATCAGTTAGCTGTTGATTCTAACTGTCATTCTGGGTTATTTTAAATATTATTTTGTTGTTGCTCTTTTTATACTCTCTGTCTTTTTCTTTTACTTTTCCTCCATTTTATCCTCCAACTTTTTATTAGCATTTTCATAGCATCATCATCTTGTTTAATTGATGCAGTGTCTTCATAAATGTCTCTGAGGATACAAAGTAGTTTCTTTCAAGGTCCTTATTTACCCTAAATTATCTCTTGTTTCCAACGGTGTCATTTCTGTATTTCACAATGTTTCTTTTTCATGGATCACACTTCCCTCAAATACCAGTCATTGGCAGTTCTAGCAAAGGTGACTCTGAGCTTGCTGTGACCAGCAGGCCTTGTTGACTGCTGGGCTCCATTTCAGGGTGAGTGGAAACGGAGCCCAGGTGTGGCATTGGCTCCCACACTAAGAATAGTTTGTTCAGTTTCTTTAGAGAGGAACGGTCATTCCTCTCGACCTAAGGGTGGAGAAGTAGGGGTTCTCTCAGCTCATATCTCCCTCTTGCTGTCCATATTCTCTTCGTTGTTGGAAGTTTACACCCATTTTTACTCCTTTGCTGTCATGTCATGAGAGCTCAGAAGATAAAGCAAATAAAGTTGTGTTTCAGGAATCCAAAAACAAAATGACAATTCTAAAAGTTTCCAGAGAAAAGGTGTAGATACCCTGAAAAGGAACAGGAATCCTTAATATCAATATTGGATGCTAGGCAACAGAATAATTTTTTCAGTGTTGAAAGACAAGAATCTCCAATGTAGAATTTTAACTCCAATGAAACTATCTTTAAAATTGGGGGCAAATTAATGATATCTCAGGCATATGTAAAAGCTCTTTAAATATTCTCTTGGAAAAAGTACTCCTTTAAGAAGAGAAATAAATACAAGAGAACACTGTGAAGCTTATGTTACTTAAGAAAAAATAGACAACACATAAATTTTAATTTTTTTCAAAAAAAACCAAATGAATATTAAGATATGGAGTAGAGAAGCAGAATCAAAAAGACTTATGGAGCATTATATAACATAGATAAGGGGTAATCCATACCTAGACATTATAGTGAATTTATAAAGTGCCAAAATTGGTGAAGAGTAAATTAAAAGCTTGCATAAATAAATAACCATTATAGAAATTAAAATAGTAAATACATTATAAGGCTAATAAATATAACCTTGATTCCAAAACTAATTAAGAACAACATAAGAAAAGATTATGGTATCAACATACATAGATATTTATATGTCTAACATATACGAGAAACTTGCAAATCAACATGAAAAAGATCAGAAACTCAAAAGAAAAATTAGCAAAACGTGTAATACACAATTTAGAGAGTGGATGCCAAGTATGAGATGAGATATGTATTTCTAGGAAGGCCTAGAAATCAGAGAAATACAAATTTTAAAACAGTGGTACACTACTTTATACACATCCAATATACAAAGATTAGAAAGCTAGGTAATACCAAGTGCTGGAGAAGATTCAGGGAAATAGACTTATCCATGTATTTCTGGAGCAGCATTAAACCGGCACAGCCATTCTGGAAAACCACCAGGCAGTACTTAGTGAAATCAAGCATTCATATACCTATGCCCAGCAACCCCCCATGCTGGGTGTGTGTCCAGAGAAGTTTTCACAGAGGTCCCTAGGAGCCCATGCACAAGGGTACCCATCCTGTCATTAGAGACTGTCACGTTTGAGTCAGCGGTTGGCATTTGGGGGGAGTGGCAAATGAGGGAGGGGGGGCAGAAAGGGAATGAGAGTGAAGACTGGGGATGAAAGGGAAAAACAAATAACCAAAATAAAACCAGAATGCGACCTTGCACCGCCTGTTAATGAACTGCGGAATGTGTTTCACTGGGCTCTCTGCGCCTGAGATCGCGCAAAACAGAAAGCGCCACGCACGCGCATCTCCTCACCACCTGGTACCAGACCGTGGGTCGAGGCGCTAAGCACAGAAAAACAAAGGAGCACCTGCTGCCAGATGGCTTCCCTTGCTTTGAGCCAAGAGGTGAGTTTTCCTTGACCTTCGGACAGCATCTCTCCCCTCCCACCCCCCCCCCCCCCCCATTCATCTGTCCTAGAGAGAAAAAAGGGCCGGCCTCACCCTCTAGAAACAAACCTCTCCCTGGCCTTCAGTAATCTCCAGGATTAGTGTTTCCTCCCCAAATCTCATTTCCTTCGACAGAACCCCCCGGATTGCTCAAGCCCTCACATTAGAGCAGCGGGGACATTCGTGCCCTGTACTCCCCAGCGCATGGCTGCGGCCCTCTCATGGCCTCAGACCTGGGGCGGAAGAAGGGCTAAGGAGCCAGAGGGAGGCAAGATCCTGTGTTTTCTGGGGAACATAAATTATTTCCGCCGCAGTTACTTCTGCGCCTTCCTAGGTAATCAAACTGTACACCTGGATAGAGAAGCCCCGCCTCCCGCAGATAAGAATCAGAATGGATTTATTGAAGTGACACAGTCATAGAGAGAATGCAGCACAAAGGTGAATTCCAAGAGCGGGTCAATTTACACAGATTTTTTAAATGAGAATGTTACTAGCCCCTTTTTTCTCCCACACAGGCCTGCACCAGACTTCTCTTCTAGGACTAAAGCCTCAGTTTTTGTATCCCCCTTCGGTTCCTCTTCCACAGATCTTGCCCTGCCTCGTTGCCCAGCTCAGACAAACACCCTGCCTCATCTTCCCCATCTCCTCCCCACTGGGAGTTGGGGGCCCTCAATCTTGGACTTCTCCAGACTTCACCAGACCGCAGAATGGCCTTAAATCCTTTCCAGTTTGCTTGTCCTCAGCCACCAGATAGTCAGTCAGCAGTACTCATTAAGCTTGTTCTGCGGGCAAAGCAGTGTACTGAGGCCTTATCAAGAAAAACTGCAGGAACAGAAGTGGTAGACGTGCCCTTTCAGGATGTGAATTAGTGTCTGTGGGTCCCCTGGTAAGTGTAAACCGTTATCCTCATCATTGTACATCCATTCCTTTATTTATCTTCACAATGACCCCAGAAGTTAAAGCCCCATTTTCCCTGTTTTCCAGGTGAGTAACCCGAACCTCTCAGAGACTGAGGAAGCTGCCTCAAGTAACAGCTGGTAAGTGACAGTGCAGGACTTCTGACTCCAAGCCCAGGCATCTGTCACACACCATGGTTGCCATAAAGAGAGCCTGTCCTCCTTGGAAATACAGAGCACCGTGCCCTGAAATAGACTCGAAGTATTTTCAGAATAGCACGTCAAGAAGAGCACACGCACGATAAACCCTGAGCTTGTGTGTCCTGGTCTGTTTCGTGGAAAAGAATGGTTCAAGAAGGAAAGGTTCCTAAAGGGGGTAACCATTAAAACCTAGTTTGAAAGAACAGAGAGCTATAGATTGGCAGGCAAGAGAGAATAAATTTGGAATAAGCATCTTCTCTTGAGGTTACTTAGACATTCCTACTGTCGTGGAAAGAATTTTCCACCGTGTCTCCCAGAGTGAGAGGAATCCGGCTGAAACGTGGCAGGGTGGATTCAGGTTAAATAGCACAAAAAATATTTCTGGTGATGAGGTGGTTAAATACCAAACTATTTCCCTAAAGGAAGTGGTGAAATGTAGATTTTCTTTTCCCTCGGATGACTTTAGCTTACTCCTGTTGGAAACGGGAGATGGAATACATGAGCTCCGGAAACCTCGTCTGAAAATGGCAATTCTGTGGCTATAAGATAACTTTATTATGCTCACGTAAAAAGAGCTCAGGGCAACCCATATAACAACAGACTATTACTCAACCCCGGACCCTCCCAGAGAGCCACAGCGAAGGGTTTTCTCACCTTTCCTCCCTGTTCCCATATCCAACAAGCATGAACCAGAAAGGGCCTGAGTCACCAGGTCATGTGACTGAAAGTGCACACGGGGCCTCTCCACACTTGGCACGGCCAGATGAAACCCAAATCGCCGTGCCCTGCAAGCTAAGAGCACCAAGCAGTTGCAGGTTTGTCTCAGGAAACATCCCGGGGCTGCCGTCCAGCCATTCAAGCTTTTGAGAAACTTCTTACTTAGAAATGATTCATTCCGAGGCACAATGGCCTGGCCATAAGACGGGTTCAGTTGGCCACGTTGTTCACATTGGGGGTCTGCTGGACACTGCAGCTCCAGGATTGCTGAGGGGAGGCCTCAGCGCCACTCCCTGCTGTAGACGCCAATCACTGTTCTCCACAGAAGAGGATGTTTGCAATGGCTCCTCCCCTGCTCTCTGGCTGCTGTTCAGGTATGTGTTAGTCAGTCAGTCAGTCAGTCAGTCAGTTGATTAGTTGGATGTTAGTTGGTTAATTGATTAGTTTGGATAGTTAGTTTTGCAAATAGCACAAGGGCACAACCCACCTCCAAGAACATGATGTTGTTTCACGGGCTCGTTAAAGATTTCATAGCCCCTGTGGGAAATCAGAAAAGGCCCTGAACAGGAAGCCCACATGAAGAAACTTTTCTCCTCCTGCTCTAATGATTTCCATTTTCCTAAGAATCCTGGACTCAAAGACTATTCAAGTTAGTCAGACCTTAGGAATCATCATCTAGCGCGACTTCATCGTTTTCCAGGAAAGGAAGCCCAAGCCCAGAGAGATGGAGCGATTCGCCCAGGGTCACACATCTGGTCCGTGCCCTTCACCTAGGAGTGGACCAGCACACATCCAAGGTGAAGGAGGAGGAAATAGGCCGTTTCCCTCTTGTATTTCCAGTGATGGGGTTTGCCTAAGATTGACAAGTATAGATTCAGACGTTTCTCCCTCCTATCAATGTCCCAAGAACCTCCATCATCACCAAACTCACATGTAAATTGCCTGTTCTGCTGCTTCTAGGAACTCACTAAGCCTTTTATTTCCATGAGACGACTTTAAATTTATAGGCACCATCAGTTCCCTCTAGCAGAAATGAGAATGGCTTCCCGACCCACAGAAGGAAAGGGGTGCCCGCAGCAAGCTCAGGCTGGGTGGCAAACACCCACCCAGGTCTATCATCCACCTTTTCTTGTTCTTTCCGTTCTTGCCTCCCAATTCCCAGAACCCACCTCCTCACCTGGAAAGTAGATCAGTCAGGTGTAGACAATGTGGGTGTTTGAAAGAGCCAGGTTTTTCAAATCAAAAGGCCTAGCTGCATATTAGCTGCATGGCCTTACTCAAGACATTTAACGATTGGCATCTTTAAATTGAGTATGATAATGCCAAGGTCCCATGAGAATGCAATGAGATCATATTTTGGGAAAGCCCTTTTGAAACTATGGAGAGGAAATCTAAGGGATTTTCATTACTGCCTCCAAGGCGCCCTATGCCTGACCATGCGTTAGAGTTCACAGCCCAGAGGAAGGGTGTTGGCAGCTGGGCTGGGCCAGAGGCAGGGCTGGAGATGGGAAACGTGTTCTCCTCCACCTGTGTACACAGGAAAGCGCCCTTCCCACAGTCCTCAGAGGGAGCACGGCAGGGGCACGTGTGGTGCGGCTGGGGCCAGCTGTGAGCACCATCCCAGAATGCACTGTGGCTGCTACTCCCTGTCAGCCCTTGAAGCTGCTTTTTTTTTTTTTCTGTTTTTAGTTCTCATGGCTTCTGGGGCATTTTAAAGAGGCTGTGTCACTACTGGTCTGGCAAACAGGCAGCTTGCTCTAGGGCAAGAACACTTTTTTTCTCAGCCTGAGTTTGTGCAAGTGGAGAATATTGGGGATGTGGATGCCTAGTCCCAATTGCTCCACATCCTTCAAGCACTCAGCTTTCCCCTCCCACTCCAGTATCTTCAGCAGTCTTTTTTTTTTTTTTTTTTGAGGAAGATTAGCCCTAAGCTAACAACTGCCACCAATCCTCCTCTTTTTCGCTGAGGAAGACTGACCCTGAGCTAACATCCGTGCCCATCTTCCTCTACTTTATATGTGGGACGCCTGCCACAGCATGGCTTGACAAGCAGTGCGTAGGTCCACACTTGGGATCCGAACCAGCGAATCCCAGGCCACTGAAGCAGAACATTCGAACTTAACCACTGTGCCACCTGGCAGGCCCCTCAGCGGTCTTTTTTTTTAATTAATTTTTTGTTGAGGTAACACTGGTTTATAACACTATAAATTTCAAGTATACATCGTTATATTTCAACTTCTGTGTAGACTACATCATGTTCACCACCAAAAGTCTAGTTGCCGTCTGTCGCTGTACACATGTGCCCCTTTACTCCCTTCGACCTCCCCTCCTCCCTACTTCCCCTCTGGTAACCACCGATCTATTCTCTGTGTCTATGTGTTTGTTTGTTGTTGTTTTTGTTTTATCTTCCACAAATGAGTGAAATCATAGGGTATTTGGCTTACTCCGTCTGACTTGTTTCCCTTAGCATAATACCCTCAAGGTCCATCCATGTTGTCACAAATGGCAAGATTTCATCTTTTCAATGGCTAAGTAGTATTCCATCTATACATACACCACATCTTCTTTATCTGTTCATCTGCTGAGGGGCACTTAGGTTGCTTCCAGCTCTTGGCTATTGGGAATAATGCTACAATGAACATAGAGATGCATGTATCTTTTTGCACTAGTGTTTTTGTGTTTTTTGGATAAATGCTCAGAAGCTGGATCATATGGTATTTCTATTTTTAATATTTTGAGGAACATCCATATTGTTTTCCATAGTGGCTGCACCAGTTTATATTCCCACCAGCAGCGTATGAGTGTTTCCTTTTCTCCACATCCTCTCTAACACTCATTATTTCCTGTCTTTTCAATAATAGTCATTCTGATGGGCTTGAGGTGATATCTCATTGTGGTCTTGATTGGCATTGCCCTAATAATTAGTGATGTTGAACATCTTTTTATGTGCCCGTTGGCCATCTGTATATATTCTTTAGAAAAATGTCTGTTCATATCCTTTGAACATTTTTTAATTGGATTTTTTGTTGTTGTTGAATTGTACAAGCTCTTTACATATTTTGGATGTTAATCCCTTATTGGATATATGATTTGCAATTATCTTCTACTTGCACAAATTGGTAGATTGTCTTTTCATTTTATGAGGTTTCCTTTGCTGTGCAGAAGCTTTTTAGTTTGATGTAGTCCCATTTGTTTATTTTTCCTTTTGTTTCTCTTGCCTGAGGAGAGATGATATTCAAAAAGATATTGCTAAGACCGATGTCAAAGAGCTTACGGCCTGTGTTTTCTTCTAGGAGTTTAATGGTTTCACCTCTTACATTCAAGTCTTTAATCGATTTTGAGTTAATTTTTGTGAATGGTGTAAGATAATAGTCTACTTTCATTCTTTTGCATGTGGCTGTCCAGTTTCCCAACATCGTTTACTGAAGAGACTTTCCTTTCTCCATTGTACGTTCTTGGATCCTTTATCAAAATTAGCTGTCCATAGATATGTGGGTTTATTTCTGGGTGCTCAATTCTGTTCCCTTGATCTGCGTGTCTCTTTTTCTGCCAGTATCATGCTGTTTTGATTACTGTAGCTGTTTAGCATATTTTGAAATAAGGGAATGTGAGACCTCCAGTTTTGTGCTTTTTTCTCAAGATTTCTTTGGTTATATAGGATCTTTTGTTGTTGTCTTCAGCAGTCTTGACAAGAAATGATAATCTCCTATCTGACTAAGATTGATGCCTTGTCCTCTTTCTCCACCTCAAAGACTTTGTTCCTTCCAGAAGGAGCATCCTCTTTTACTCAAGTTAGCTACACCACCTGCTTCATCACTTCTTCCTGAACTGTCTTCCCTCCATAAGCATGGCTGACCCCATCCCACAGCCCCTTCAGTTTCTCCTCTCCCCAGACTTTTTCTCCTCTGTCTGTGGGCACATTGAGATTTCTAGTAAGGTGAGGCATGTTCCTTGATGTTTCTTCCACTATTTACAATCCTATTTGCATTTTCTTTCCATTGCCACACTTTTTAAATCAGTGATCTGGACAAGTAGTCTCTTTCTGAAATCAGTATTTTTGCCTCACCTCATGCTCTGTAGAAGCTTTACTCCCAAAGGTCACCAAGGAATTGTCAAAAGGTCAATGACTAATTTTTGGTCCTCATTCTTCCTGTGTAATATTGATGTTCCACTCAATGGGATTCTGTCCTCCTGTGGCTCCTGTGGCAGCACACAACCCTCATGTTTCTGCTCTCTGCCTGCTCCCATGTCCCCTTTGTCAACGCCTCTTCCTTTTACTGCCTCCTTACCATGGACGTTTGTCAAGATTCAGTTCCCTGGGGCTCTGCTATTCTGTGTATTCTCTTTCCCTTGTTAATTTCACCCACTCTCTGGGATGGATGTTTGCTTCATTCTGAAAATGTGTCCAACATCTGTATCTACATATAAGACTATTTTTACCCAAAAATGCCTATTCGATGTTGTCTTCCTTGGGGCTTTCATAGTGATTTGATATCTAAAATTAAATTCATCATCTTTCTGGCTTCTGCATTTTTGTTAATATTATAACTTCTCTCTTAATTAATCACTTAGGGGCTAAACTTGAAAACCATTCCTAATTCCTCCACCTCTCTCATTCCTCTATTTAATCACCAAGTCAAGTCAGTTCTTCTTAAAAACTTTTGCAACCTCCTTTCCTTCTTGCCCATTGTATTCTTACTGACTTCATCCTTCCTAATTCAAGTAATTCATTCTTTTATTCATTCATTTAACAGATATGTCTGGAATGCCTATTCTGCACCAGGCTTTGTGCTAGGAACTAGGTAAGTAAAAATAGACACAGACTGCTCCCTAGTCCAGCAATGATATTTATAAGCTGGTGGAAGAAGCTAATGTTCCTCAAGAAAATATTAATGAATATATAGTACCTACAAATTGAAATGAATATTCTGAAAGACAAGGACACAATTAAGGCTTGAGACATGATGTGTGAGTAGAAGTTGACTAGAAAAGTGGACATGGCTTGTGGCGAGAAGGAAGAAAGTTACTTACTGATGGAATAATTTATTCAAAGACCATTTGGTCAGAAAGAACACAGTAACTTCAAGAAACTGAGAGAGGTCAGTGAGGCTGGAGCTGAGACAGCCAGGGACAAAAATGAGGCTAGAGAAAAGGGAGGGGAAAGACCATGTCAGGCGTGGTCAACCAGGGTAAGTTCTTTGGTTGGACTCCATCCTAAGATTGATGCAGAGTCTTTATTATTACTCACTTTAACTACAGCAATGGCGTCCTGCCTGAGATTCTGACTTTTCCTACTTCAATCTGTGCTGCATGTCATGATAAGAGTGTTCATTAGATAATCCTCCAACCTATCTAGATTTATTTCTCAAGACCAGCTTACACAACTAGTACATTACAACCAACTGGTCTACCCTTTGATCTCCAGGCTATTTAGTGCTTTCCTGACTCTGTGCCTTTGCTCACCTCCTCCACCCCTGCTTCAATTATCATCTACTGCTCCTCTCTACCTCATGCCTACGCACCATTGAGGGGATCATTTAAATCCATTCTTTTCTGGAAACCATTAATATCCTGGCCACCTTAACTTAAAATGCTCTTGACAACCATGACATATGCCACTTACATATCACAAAAGCCTGGACTTTAGAGCTAGAAAGTCTTGGTTTGAATCCTGGTTTTGAGCTAATCACTTAATTCTAGAAGCCTCAGACATCTAATCTATAAAATGGATAAAAATTATTGTACTTATTAAATCAGAATACACTTCTAAAGTATCTAAAAGTGTACTTAGCACATAGTCAATGCTGAATACTTGTTATTCATGTTCCCGCCTTCAGCTTCTCGTACTTTTCTAAGGAAATGTTAGGCTTTTTGAAGAAAGGGACTATCTGTTTTACAAAACTACCCCTATTGGCAGAGGATAGGATTATCTATAGAAAATCTACATAGAAAATTAATATCAATAAAATTAATAAAAGCATCAGCAGTTATTAGAAACAAAATCAATATATAGAAATCAATAGAATATGTATATACAATGAAGTACTATTCAACCTTAGAAGGTAATCAAGTACGGATACATGCCGCAACAGAGATAAACCTTAAAACATGTGCTAAGTGAAAGAAGACAGTCACAAAGACCACATATTATGTTATTCCACTCATATGAAAGTCCAGAATGGGGAAATCTATAGCGACAGAAAGCAGATTAGTGGTTGCTTGGGGCTGGAGGAGGGGGGGGATGGGAGAACAGGAGGTTAGCTGAAAGACAGCGAGTTTCTTCTTGAGATAATGAAAATATTCTAAAAGGGACTGTGGTGATGGTTGCGTATATCTTTGAATACATTAAAAAGCATTAAATTGTATACTTTAAATGGATAAATTGTGTGATATGTGAATTACATCTCAATAAAGCTGTTAAAAAGTCAACAGATGTCTCTAAATAAGTACTAATCAATTAGAAAACTTTATGGAAAAATCTCATTCACAAAATCAACAAAATCTGTAAGACACCTATAAAACTAATAAATATTGTATAAAATCTTTGTTAAGAAAAGTACTGTATTGAAGTACATAAAAAAAGACCTGAATGAACGGAGAAATAAAACATGTCCGTGAATGGAAGACTCAATATTGAAAAGACATCAATTCTCCCTAAACAAATCTATAAAAGAACTATGATTCCATTCAAATATTTATTTAATACTAAAATTCACATGTAAGGGAAAAGGGCTAAAATATCCAAGACATCCCTGAAGTAGATAAATAAAGTGAGAGGCAAGGCTTGCCCTCCCAGGGATCAAGACTCATTATAAAGAAGATTTGTTGAGAGAGGCCAGCCCAGTGGCACAGCGGTTAAGTGCGCACTTTCCACTTCAGCAGCCCAGGCTTCGCTGGTTTGGATCCTGGGTCAGGACATGGCACCACTTGGAAAGCTGTGCTGTGGTAGGCATTCCATTTATAAAGTAGAGGAAGATGGGTGCAATGTAGCTCAGGACCAGTCTCCCTCAGCAAAAAGAGGAGGATTGGCAGCAGATGTTAGCTCAGGGCTAATCTTCCTCAAAAAAAAAAAAAGAAGATTTATTGACAGAGTGTGTTAGCAAAGGATGGACAAATAAGCCAACAGAACAGAATAGAGAGTTCAGAAACAGACTCTCATACAAATTCAAACTTGGTATATGAGTGAAATGACCTTAAAAAGTCAATGGAGGGGTCAGCCCTGTGGCATAGTGGTTAAGTTCGGCACACTCCGCTTCGGCAGCCTGGGTTCGTGGGTTCAGATCCCAGGTGAGGACCTACACTACTTGTCAGCCATGCTGTGGTGGCAGCCCACAGATAAAGTGGAGGAAGATTGGCACAGATGTTAGCTCAGAGCTAATCTTTCTCAGCAAATAAAGAAATAAATACATAAATGGAGATTTTTTTTAAGAAAAGATGGGATATTTAATAAATGATCCTGATACAACTGATTCCCCACAAAATTGTATCTCCCCCTCCCACCAACCAGAAATAAATTCCAAATGGATTAAAGCATAAATCTGAAAAGAAAGCCTCATACCTTTTAGAGGAAAAACGGGAGAATATCTCCATGGTCTCACAGTAGAGATTCTCCTTTTTTTTTTTGAGGAAGATTGGCCCTGAGCTAACATCTGTTGCCAGACTTCCTCCTTTTTTTTCTCCCCAAAGCCCCAGTACATAGGTATATATCCTAGTTGTAAGTCATTCTAGTCCTTCTATGTGGGATGCCTCCACAGCATGGCTTGATGAGTGGTGTGTAGGTCCATGCCTAGGATCAGAACTGGTGAACCCCAGGCTGCCAAAGCAGAGTGCATGAACTTAATCACTCAGCCACAGGGCCGGCCCTGAGATTTTCTTAAACAAGACAAAAAAGTAGTAACTTTATATGAGAAAAATGAATTAATTTGATTAAATTGGATTTTCTAAAATTCTTTACTATAAAAGTGAAGCATAAAGACAGGTCACAGACTGAGAGATGAAATTTTCATTGCATATAATCAAAAAAGGATTAATGTCCAGAGAACAGGAAATGCTTACACAATTCAACATGACAGAACAAACAACCCAACAGAAAAATGGTCAAAGGATACAAATAGGAAATATACAGAAAGAGAAATCCAAATGGCCAACATCTTTATGAAAAGATGTTCAACCTCACTAGAATCAAGAAAATGGAAGTTTGAAAAAAAATTAAAGCTTGTCAATACCAAATTGTTTCATGGATGCAGAGAAATAGGAATTCTTACAACTGCTGGTGAGAATGTAAATCGGTACAGCCCACTATGGATGAAAATATGGCACAATGTAGTAAAATTAAGGACATGCATCTCTAGGACCAGGGAATTCTCCTTAGAGGAACCTTCAAAAAACTATAGCACAAATGCATGCAGAGGCTTGTTTTATTTATTCGTTTATTTATTTTTTTGAGGAAGATCAGCCCTGAGCTAACATCTGGTACCAAGCATCCTCTTTTTTTTTTTTTTTTTTTGCTGAGGAAGACTGGCCCTGAGCTAACATCCATGCCCATCTTCCTCTACTTTATACGTGGGACACCTGCCACAGCATGGCTTGCCAAGTGGTGCCATGTCCACACCCGGGATCTGAACCAGCGAACCCCAGGACCACGAACGAGAATGTGCGCACTTAACCACTGTGCCACCGGGCCAGCCCCAGGAGGCTTGTTTTAAATTTCTTTTGCATTATCTGTAATAGTAAAAAAAAAAAAGTCTAAACAGAAGAATGAATAGTTACGATTAAATATCTATAGAAGTTAGTGTATTAACATGGATAAATCCCAAAAAATTCATTTGAGCAAGAAAAAAAGAAACCACCTCTTGAATGACACATCACACCGTTTATACACATTTTTAGAACTTGAAAAACAAAACTCTGTATAATTTATGGACACAAAAATGTGTAGTAAATATAAGAACATGCACAGAAATGACAATGAGAAGCATAAAGAAAAGGCTCCTGGAACAGGCGGAGGGTGACAACTTGGGTGGAGTCCCACGGGGGATTCAATTGTTTCTGTAAGGCTTTGCCAAATATGGCAAAATTTAAGATTTTAAAACTAGTGGTGACCATAAAGAATTCTTATAAATATTCTCTGTTCATTGCTATATGTTTGAAATCTTCAATAATAATAAAAAGTAAAAACCTAGGTTTTTACAAATGTACTAGACAAAAGGTTAATATCTTTAATATATCAAACTTCTTGGAAATAGGTAAAGTACAAAAACATCCACCCTAGATAAATGAAAAAAATAACATGAACAGAGAACTTCCGAATAATAAAATATAAATAGTTAAGAAACATCTTAAACCCACTATCAAAGAAATTCAAATAAAAAGTAAATAGGTATCATTTTCACATATTAGATTAACAAAAATATTTTTCTTGGTATTACTCATTGTTGGCAAAGCTATGATTCCGTGAACACTCAAAAGTATAAATTACAACTAACATTTGGAAAAACTATTCCAGAGTTTGGATAAAAATGTCTATAATTTTCTACCTTGTGGTTACATTTCTAGGTATCTATCAGAAAAAAAAAAAAAAACAGGAATGTAATAAAAATTTAGGTTCAGAGAAGTTATTTTTTTCATTGTTTATAATAGCAAAATAATTAACCAACATAAACAATCCAAATTAAGGAAATGATTCAATAAATTACAGATTATGGTTTACCCGTAAGATGGACCATTATGTAGTCATTCACTTACGATGGTGTTTGTTAAGAACTCTTAAAGCTATTGGGAAACAACTGTGCTGTAGTGTCAAGTGGATATAGGGTATAGACCCGTATGACAGTGTTCCCCCAGCTATGTAAATATACACGGGGTCCTCATTATCCGCATATTCATTATCTGAGTCTCCGTAGTTGCAAGATTTAATGAAATGAGGAGAAGGCGTTTAGAGAGCCCGCCCAAATCACATGCAAAGCCACTAACAAATAAGGATCTGGAAAGTTAGATCAATAAAAAATTGAAGAGAAAGTGAAGAAGAATGGTAACAAGACATTCCATGCAAAAGAGAGTAATTTGACTGTTAAAGTATTATGAGAGGCCATTGAGGAAATTGATGAACTCTTCAAACATTTTTGCAATATTGGCTTCTTTATGATTGTGTTACAAAATAATCAAATGTGAAGTGAAAAATGTAGCATTAAGCTAGCTTTCATTTTCTCTGGAAAAATTATCCCACGATCCCCTCCCCCACCATTTTATTTATTAATATTTTCTTCTAAGAATTGATGTATAATTCCAAGTATAACCTAAATTTTATTTTAAGGGTTTATAATAAAGCTATTTGTACAATTTTTACTACATTTTCAAGGTAAAAATCATAATTAATCTTTTTAAGTACTTTTTATAAAATTTTGATTTCTATTTTAATTGATTAACTTCAGATGATTCTAGGTTAACAAAGAATTCCTGATTATCTTGTGTAGAAAATAAAGAGTAGAACAGCACTGTCCAGTAGAAATATAATGTGACCCATTTGTGTAATTTAGGTGAAATTAATTTTAATAATATATTGTATTTAACACTATTGTTCAAAATATAATAATTTCAACATGTAATCAATATAAAAATAATTAACGTAATTTTTTTTACTAAATCTTCAAAATCCAGTGTGTATTTGACACAGCACATCTCAATTTGAGCTTGCCACATTTCAAGTATTCTATAGCTCAGGTCTAGAAGAAAATGTACCAAAATGTTTTTCAAAATGCACACAAAATGGTTGTGCATGAATGGAGGGATTAGACGTGAAATATCACTTCCATAATTTAAAACTTTTTAAACTTTCCATATTTTTAGCTTTCTTTTTTCATTTATGAAGAGTAACATTTTTCTCTCTCTCTCTCACTTATGGCTTAAGTATTTAAATAATACATTTTTTCCCTATTTCTCTTTGTGTCCTTTGCTAGTTGCATTTCATTTCCTGCTTTGGCTTTTCTGGTTTTCTCAGCAAATTGTTTCCATTTTTTTTCCATCCTTTTCACTGGTAGCCTGGCGAACTTCCACCTCTGAGATCATTTTCAAGCAACGCTTGGCCCTGCCAAGTTAATTGCTTTCTCCCCTTCCCTGCTTTCTCATGGATCAAGATTGTTTTTCCTTATGTTATTAAAACCGTATTGTTTTCTTATGAAACAAGCAGTTCTCTTGGACTTCTTTGTCTTTTAAAAACCCTTCCCAGGGGACACTTTCAGTTCTTGGAATCCAGTTAATTGATTTTCATTCCTCTTCTCCTACAGGTTTTCTCCCATCCGTCTTTCAGAATCATACGTTTTATAATGTAGAAATGTATGGTCACTTTCAATCAGGTTGCTAAATTTAAATTTTCGAATACGTATTCCCTGAAAGTGATTATCACATCAAGGGCTGTGTTTTTCAATCTGGTGATTTGATTTCTCCACCACCTGCCAGAAAGGGCCGTTTCTCCTAAGGGAGCTTCAGAACTTCCTCCGCATCGCTTCCACGCTGTCTCCTTCAAAGAAGATAAACACAGAAAATGTTGGGCTGCACTGCAGCATTCTGTATTGAAAAACTTCGGTTAAGTTGTTCAAAGAAAACTGTGGAGCTTGGTCAAGAGCTTGGTATCATTTTCTTGAGGCTAATTGCTAAATATCACTTTTCTGATGTCCTTGAAGTCCCTGAATCAGCTGAGAAAAGAATTGTCAGTATTCGTATGACCTAAATAATTTTGAAATCTGCCCTGGATATTAGGCCACTGGTACTTATTACTGTAAGAAACTACACTCTCAGAAAGTGGAAGAGTTCATTTAAATAATGGAGTTGAAAATAAAGTGAAAAAAGTAATAGAGGTGGGGAGGGAGGTACTCAGGTAGCAGTTTAGTGAATACTAACGGCTGACCAAAGGGACTCACACCCAAATTTACAGATGCTGAAATCTAACTCCTTGAACATCTGCTCAGGAACCCACACAGGCCACCCACAGAAAACAAGAGGATTTTTTTTTTCTCTCTCCAGGGGTGGGAGTGGAGGACAAAGGATAATAGCTTCTTAATGCAGGAAGCAGAAAAATAAAATAGAACAAACACCCGGATTTGAGGTAGAATCAGTTAATGGCAAATTATATTTGATGTGCATTCTGAGTAAAAATGATGAACAGATCAAATGAGATTATTTTGGGAGGCTCCTTATTTGTTTGTATTCTGCCCTTCTCTGTGTAGGGCTTGAGGAGACTGCAAGACACTGAAAATGTTAACATCCTATATAAATGAATGTATGGGAGGCAAGAAAAAAAAGAAAGAAAGGGGGAGAATGGAAGGAGAGAGAGAAATTTCAGTTAAGTGTATTTCATTTGTACAATAGGTTTCCTGGAGGGGGAAAAAAACAAGACAAAATATTGCTTATCATTTGGTTAAATTCAAAAAACGTTTGAGTACGTGCTCTGTGCTAACTTGTGCTTGCTAGATGCTAAGGAGTGTCACAAGATGACCAGGGTGATCAGATCTCTGCATAAGGCAAAACTGTGTGCTCCCTCCCGCCACCACACACCCACGGAGGTCAGTGCAGTTTTTGCCCCATCCCAAGCAGGAATCCACACTAGGATGGAGCCCAAACCAGTGCCATGCCTCCTCTGAGCACGTCCAATCTGGAGGAGCCTCAGAAGATAGGAATGATTCCAGAATTTATCTGGGGTTTGCAGAGCTGACCTTAACCTTGAGTTATTGTCAACTCGTCTATACGTGGTCTCTGGCCACTCCCAGGATCGCTCAGTCTTCTCATTAACTTCTAAACTAGCTGGATGGGAGCTCCTGGGTAATGCCCCGACCCTGAACAGAGTGTGTAGGGAGAATGGCTTCCACAGCCTGTATAAAGCGTTATTTATGTGTAATGGGTTACTTCAGTAGGTCACTCTCTTCCCCCAAGAAAGAGCAGAGGTGCTGTAAGTTAAGAGAACCCCTCCTATCTGGGATGCGGTCAGCAGAAGGCCTGGAGAGCTGCGTTTGGGAGTCAGTTACTAGCTGTGCCCTACTAAACCAATTGCTCGATCTTTCATGTTTCCTTTCTCTCAGCCTTCGAATGAAAGTAATATTACCTATGTCACAGGGTCACACTGATGATTAAATGAAATAAGATACCTGAACATTCTGGAAATGTCTAACACAGATGTTAATATTTATAAAATTATGACAGAGTTTTCTGGATAGGTGAGAAAACAGATTTCTTTGACATTCGAGGGAGTAAACATGAGAGACTAGACTCCTAAGAGAGCTGCTGAAGATACAGGACTGGACTCAGAAAGTTGAAAGGAAACATCCAGGTCATGATAGTAACTACCCAAATCATCAGATTCTGCTCTGGTGAACGTGGGGTTAGATTTTATCATCGTATGGAGCCTAAAGTCCATGTGTTGTCTGTGATAGAATCATAACCCAAGAACAGCAGAAGGCAGCCTGAAATCCACCACCGTCAAGGGCTTTAGAGGCCAGGGAGCGCTGTGTTCCAGAAGCCGTAAACACGGGAGGAGGCAGGGAGGGAACGGGCCACTTACAGCCATCTGGCTACGGTCCTACCACACCCTCATCTCCATCCTGTCTGAACCCGCCCTCCTGGGGCCAGCCTGAAGCTGGACCAGATTCCAGATAAGCGCCGTTCCCTGGCCAATCACCCGAGGACACTCAGTGTTTCTTCTTGGGTCCCAGTCCTAGGTTCTTTTCCCCTTCTCGTTGCAAATTTTGCAATTTTCTCTGTTGCATCTTTTCAGCCCACGTAATAAAGCTGTGAGGAGACAAATGCTGAGTTGACAAGCAGGGCAACAGAATTGAGCTAAAATGGTCCTTTGGCTCTCACTCCTGGTAATCCTAGAACTGCCAGCTTCTCCCTTTTATCTGTTTCCTCCTGGCAACTAAATGCCAACGAGGAACATAGTCTCAAAAACGTGCCTCTATTTTACAGACAGTTGTAGAATCCAAGACACTGTAAGAATTTTGAGCAATTAAAGCAGGAACCATGAATAAGTAAACTTTAATTAGCTTTGGACAACAAATCCAAGTCAATGATAAAATAATACCCAATATTTATACAGTAGGCTAAAGTTTACAGTGTTTCAGACCCGTTACCTCATTTGATGATGAGAGCTACGCTGTGAGGCAGATATTTGTGGTAGGCAGCCTCCAAGATGATACCAAATAATTCTCACCTCTGGTATTCATGCCCCTCTGTGGCCACCCCCACACCAAATAGTGCTGACCTGGACAGCCAATAGAATATTACCAAAAAGATGGATGTGACCTCCAAGTCAGGTCATAAAGACATTGCAGCTTCGTCTTATTCCCTCTTGGGTCACTCTCTCTGGGAGAAGTCAGCTGCCATCACATGAGAGCACTCAGCAGCTGTGATGGTAAATTTTGTATTGTCAACTTGACTTGGCTAAGGAATGCCCAGATAACTGGTAAAACATTATTTCTGGGTGTGTCTGTAAGAGTGTCTCTGGAAGAGATTAGCACTCGAATAATTAGGCTGAGTAAAGAGATCACCCTCCCCAGTGCAGTTAGGCATCATCCAATCCATTGAGGGCCCCAATAGAACAAAGAAGATAGAGGAAAGGCGAATTTGCTCTCTCTGCTTGAGCTGAGCCATCCATCTTCTCCTATCCTTGGACACTGGCACTCCTGCTTTTCAGGCTTTCAGGCTCAGACTGAGATTTACACCCAAGGTGCCCCCGATTCTCAGGCCTTTGGACTCTGACTAAATTACACCACCAACTTTCCTGGGTCTCCAGCTTGCAGACAGCAGATCATGGGACTTCTCAACCGCCATAACTGCATAAGCCAATTCTTATAATAGATAGGTAGATCGATAGATATCCTATTGGTTCTGTTTCTCTGAAGAACATTGACTAATACAGCAGCCCAGTGGAGAAGTTCACATTTTGAGGAAGAAAGGCCTCCTGACAACAGCCAGGAGCAACTTGAAAGTGAATCCTCCAGTCCCCATGAAGAATTCAGATCATTATAGCTCCTCCCAAAATCTGTTTTTCAATTAACGGCTTTATTGAAATATAATTCATACACTCTACAGTTCTCCGGCTAAAAGTGTACATTTCAGTGGTTTTTCGCATGTTACATATATGTGTAGCCATCACCACAGTCAATTTTAAAACATTTTAATCATCTCAAGAAGAAATCCCACACCTTTTAGCTGTCAGCCTCCCTATACTCCCCAGCCTTAAGCAAATACTAATCTACTTTCCTTTTTCTATAGACTTGCCTCTTCTGGACATTTTATATAAATGGAACCATACAGTATGTGGTCTGTTGTGACTGGCTTGCTGTACTTAGCATGCTTTCAAGGTTCATCTATGTTGTAGCGTGGATCAGGACTGTATTCATTTTTATGGAAAAACAATATTCCATTGTATGGATACACCACATTTTGTTATCCATTCATCAGTTCATGGACATCGGGTTGTTTTCAACTTTTTTCTATTACAAATAATGCTGCTATAAATATTCATACGCAACTTCTTTTGTGGACATATGTTTTCACTTCTTTTGGGTATTTACCTAACAGTGAAATTGTTGGGTCATGTGTTAACTCTTTATTTAACCATTTGAGGAGCTGCCAGACTATTTTCCAAAGTGGCCGTACCATTTTATATCCCCATCAACAGAATATGTGAGTTCTGATTTCTCCACATATCACCAAAACTTGTTATTTCTGACTTTTTGATTCTATATCCTAGCAGGTATGAAGTAGCATTTCATTGTGGATTTGATTTGCATTTCCCTGATGACTAATAATGTTGAGCATCTTTTCATGTGTTTAGTGCCCATTTGTATATCTTCTTTGGAAAAACATCTTTTAGATACTTTGCGATTTTTTTAGTTGGGTTATTTGTCTTTTTATTATTGAGTTGTAAGAGGTCTTTGTATATTGTAGATGCAAGTCTCTTAACAGATACATCATTTGCAAATATTTTCTGCTATTCTGCAGGTTGTCCTTACATTTTCTGGATAGTGTCCTTTGAAGCGCAAAATATTTTAATTTTGATGAAGTCTAGTTTACCTAATTTTTCTTTTATGGCTCATGCTTTTGGTGTCATATCTAAAAATTCATTGCCAAATTCAAGATCATGAAGATTTACCCCTATGCTTTCTTCTAAGAGTTTTACCTCTTACAATTAAATCTTGGATCTATTTTGAGATAATTTTTGCATATGGTGTGAGATAAGGGCCCAACTTCACTCTTTTGTGTGTGGATATCCAGTCATCCCAGCACCGTTTGTTGGAAAGACTATTCTTTCCCCCACTGAAGGGTCTTGGCACCCTTGTCAAAAATCAGTTGACTACAGACACATGGATTTATTTCTGGACTCTCAGTTCTATTGCACTGATCTATATGTCTATCATGTCACGGAGCTTAGAAGATAATGGGACTCCTTAAACCTGCCCTTTTCGCTCTCACACTCACACACGTGCATACACACGCATACGCAGCTATCTGAGTAGGAGAGAAACTACACATTTAGCTCTCATTTCAACCCATACAGTGGAAGGCTCAATTGACTAGAGCAGATCTTGGTCACGAAAAACAAACACTAGCTGAGAAAGCTGATACGATGCTTCCAAAAAATCTGCCTATCTTCTCAAGTGAACAAGGTGAGCAGACACACAGATGCCTCTAAGCAGCCATTCATGGGTCCTGGGGAGGATGCTCAGACTTCACACACACACCCCTCACTCTCCCCGCACCCCCGATCCGAAGGTAAGGAGAGTTGCATGGCTGGGGGAAGGAGCAGAGAGGAGAAACAACCCTCAGAAAAACTTGGCTTTAGAATCAGGAATGCTAGCTTGTTACTGCCACAATATGACCAGGAAATCTCAGAAGGTGGCAGAGTTTGGGTTCATTTTCAGAACAACATGTAGAAAGAATAGACTGGCCACCCAAAACCTTATCTAAACCTAAAATGTCTACAAAATTGGGCAACAAAGTTCAAAGAAATAGCCTTTTACTTGCAGGTTTTTAGTGCCAAGACTCCTTCTGGTCAAGTTGTAACTGAGTAAATATAGAAGCCAAGGAAATTAAATGGAATTTCTGGAACTCAACCCTGGGTGTGCTGCAAGCTGAGGACAGAAATATGTGGGTTGATGAAAGCGGGGTGTAGGCTTGTTTGCTTTAGGGTCCTTCCCATCCTCCAGAACTTGGCCGATCTTAGAGAGTCAGGCTGGCTTCCAGGCTCCTTGCAAAGACCAAAGTTCAAGGTGATCTGTCCAAAAACTTGTCCGTTTTCAATGTATTATAGGAGCGTATTAGCTGACAACCCCCTTTTAAAAGAGAATAGGTTCCAAAACTCCATATACCAGACAAACTGGTTAGGAAAACGGAATTTGACAGCATGTTAAAGAAACAGATGCACAAGTCCTGACAAGACAGTGATGTGGGCAGTCTCAAGGGCCCTGCAGAGGGCAAAGCAAAGGCCAGTGTGCAGGGGTCCAGGTCCTGCATCTCCCTTCAACGCGAGCAGCACAGCTTTCCCTCTTCAGAAACGGGGGCTCTGGGAAAGACTTAATTTGAGAGAAAAAGATTCAAATAGATGAGATAGAGAGAGAGAAAAGATATAAAACATGAAAAACCCTAGTGGTGTAGAAAGAACACTACATTGAGTATTAAGAGACCCTCTCTTCTAGTCTAGGCTGCCCCAGATCATAACTTTAAGCATTTTTTTTCAACTGATAATTGCCCAGTGTAGGCTAAAAGTTCTCTAAGCACCGTTAGCTCCAACATAAGTTGATTCTCTGATTGTAAGGAAATGCTGAAAGAAGCTTACAGCTGCCTTTAATGACTAGATCTTGAACCTCACCCTTGTCTCCTCTTGAGAAGATGAGTTTTACATGGAGATAAACCTGAGAACTAAGTCATCCCTGTGCTTAGAAGAGCACTGTCACTGAGCGCAGAATGCAATTTAGAGATAAAATCAGCACACTGCACTCTACAGTGGACCATGCTGTGCCCTGGGCCATAACAACAACCACAACAATGATACTAATAAACAAATACTGTTACCGAGAACTCACAGTGGGTCAGACAGAGGGTCCAGCATTTTATACATATTGACTCCTTTAATCCCAATAACAGTCCTACAAAATTGGAACTATTACCATTCCCATTTTACACAAGAGGTAACAGGCTCAAAGAGGTTAAGTGACTTCTCCAAGATCACATTGCTGCTAATAGAAGAAGCAGACTCCAACGCCCCGACAGTCTGATGTCAACGCTCTTCACCACTGTGCTGCTCAAAGTAGAGACCAAGACGGAGACCCTATTGACATTTGATGCTCATGAGGGAAGGGAGAAGTTGTAAAAGTGATGAAATACATTGTCAGCAAACAGGTAGCTACTCAATTAAAATTGGAATCTGGGGGGACGCCTCAGAGATACTTCCGAATAGGTTGGCCAGACATACTGAGCTATTAAGGAGCGGTGGCTCCAAGGGACAGAGGAGAGACAGACTGGAAAGTAGTTCTCCAAAGAAATGATGCAATCAGGTCACTGATCATTGGCGGAAGGAGGGAAAGATAAACAGGCAGGTCCCTACAGACAGGGTGAGGGAGGCATATTGGCAGAGGGAACTGCCAGAAATTTGTCGCAAGTGTCCACAAGCCTGTCTGCATTGCTTAAGGGTTCTAGGACTAGTGCACCTTGTACGCTACTGAATCCCTGGTTTAGACCTAAAAAGGGTCAGTTCTGTGTCAAGAGAGCTAAGAGAGGGCTCTGCCTTCCCTGCTGAGGTGGCTTTTCCGCCATATTTGTGCTGATGGCTTGTAGAAGGAGTGAAAGAAAAGGGACAGGAGCTATCATTTTATTCCATTTCCCCTATAACATTGAACTAAATCTCTCAGAGATGCCTCTTCCATGTCACCTCACAGCCTTTACCTTCTAGTCCGGAATTTCCAGAATCTCGATCTTTCCTTCCACTCCTCTGTCCACACTTTAGATTACATATTCCACATGGCTTACTCCTTTTGAACAGCCTTCGCATGTCCCCTCTTTCCACCCTAGACAACAATGGTTGCCTGCCAAGAAACGAGGAAGTTTCGCTGTCCCTCAAAAAGGATCTGGAAAGGCTAGTCTGCAGGGCAGAGAGAAAGGGGCAATGGTGAGGAAGAGCCACCCCAGGACTGAAACCAAGCAGAAGCAGGTGGCAGGCACAATGCCTGCCACGTGCAAAGGACTCCAGTAATATTTGCTGGAAGGAAAGGAAGGAGGGAGGGAGAGAGGGAGAAAGAAGGAAGGAAGGAAGGAAGGAAGGAAGGGAGGAAGGAAGGGAGGGAGGGAGGGAGGGAGGAAGGGAGGAAGGGAGGAAGGGAGGAAGGGAGGAAGGGAGGGAGGAAGGGAAGAAGAGTTACTCTGATTGATAGTTATAGCTGATCCGAGAATTTGGAGACGTCTAGCCCATACTCAGGGCCTGCCAACAGCCACTGAAATTTTTTTATAAAAAGACTCAGATGATATATTCTATTAAGGACCTTGATGGCTTCTCTGTATTGTTTTGTTTTGTCAGCCCTAAGTCTTGAAATTCTCTGCCAAGTGGTCCTAATAAGTACCCAACTTTGTCTCCCTCAGCCCCTAAGGGGGAGCCTCTCCCTCAGCAAAGTCCCCCAGTCCAGTCTTCTCCTTGTCTTATCTCACTGCCCTTTATTAGAATTCTGGGCATGCTAGTCTGTCTCCTGCACTCAAGAATACGCTTCTTAAGGCTAATGTGCTATTTGCCCCTCCAGGTCTGCTTTCCACCTTAGTCCTGCCCTGGTGAGGCTGAACTCTTAAGACTACTACCTAGGCTCCCTTGCATCTTTGGCTTCCAGGGGGTTTGGGCAACAGGAGGCACACATGAAAGCCTGGAGGGTGGGAAGAGAGAAAGGTCTGGGGTTTATTCTCTCCTGTCAGGCCACGTTTGGGCAGTGGCCGTGTTCTACCAAATGCCACAACTCCTGTCAAACTCCGAAAGCCATGGCTCTCTCCAGGGCTGATAGCCGCTCTTTCCCCTGAGCCTTCGGGCTGAGATGTAGTATGGCTTTTCTACCACGTTCATCCTGCATGTTGCACCATCCCTTCCTGGTTCTCTCCACCTGACCCCACAGCTTTGTAAATTATCCATTCATTAAACCTTCATTCACACTTTTATTCATTATGAATCAGTCACTTAGTATGGAGTTGACATTGTGCTGGGCACACAGCAGTTTGGTGCTGAAAGTGAGCCCTATTTCACCTCTCCCTCCTTCTTGCTAGGGCCCTGGAACCCCAGCCCTAGCCCAACAGGCACACCTCCTACCTAGTTCTTTTCCCTTTGCCAGGAGTCTACTGCAGGTGATTAATATATCTTTGGGTTTAGGCTTAGAAATTGCTCTTA